GTGTTTCATGTTTTCACTTAAAGGACGAGCTTTATTGCTTCTCTTTGGCATATCTGAATTGGCAGCATGACTACTCCTGTACTTTAGGGCCATTATTAAGTAAAATAAGGGCTCCTTGAATGTAAGCACTGTGATACTGTTGTAACTCAGCAGGACCCTGTGGGGCCCTCCTGGGACAGACCCTCTCCCTAGGTTTTCTGCTTTAGGTCCTCTCTAAAGTATCTAGTACACATTTCCTGAGTTGTTTTACAGATGCTAAAACCCCAAATTGAGGAAGTTAACTACTCCAGGACCATAAGCACATAGCCCCCAGACTCAGAACTGATAATGTTAGCCCTGTGACATTGCCCAGTTACCTCACCATCAACCAATCAAAGAAATGTGCATGAGCTAATCACATAATCTGCGACTCCCTTCCCTCACCTGGCCCTTAAAAATGCCTCCCTTAGGGTGGGGAGGGATAAATTGGGGGTTCGAGATCTGCAGATACTAACTACTGCATATAAAATAGATAAACAAGTTTCTACTGTATATCACAGGGAATTATATTCAATATCTTGTAGTAACCTAACAAAAAAATATGAAAATGAATGTATGTATGTATATGTATGACTGAAACAGTATGCTGTACACCAGAAATTGACACATTGTAAACTGACTATACTTCAATTTAAAAAGAATACAAAAAATAAAAATAAAAAATGCCTCTCTGAAACCCCATAGAGAGTTCAGGGGTTTTTTTTTAACATTAGCTACTGCAGACTCCTTGTCTGGCTTCTTCCAATAAGCACTGCACTTTCCTTCACCACTTCTTGGTGTCAGTATATTGGATTGAGCAGACCCAAGTTTGGTTTGGTAACACTGTGACAGTCAATTTGATAACAGAGGAGACTACTAAGTGATTAATGGGTGGGACAGAGCAACAGGGCACGACATTTCATCATGCTACTCAGAAAGGCACACAATTTAAAGTTTACGAATTGTTTATTTCTAAAATTTTCATTTAATATTCTCAGATTGCAGTTTGGCTCCCTGACTTTACATTGTGTCCAGTTGCATGCCTGGGCCCTGGTTTTTGAGGCTGCCTCCAGGGGACACCTCTACATTGCTTGCCTCTGGTGGCCAACAGGACCTATGCTTTCGGTCCCGCAGGTCTGTTTATATTTGCATATTTAAAATCTGCTTCTTGAGAGTCTGGCTTCTGCCAATTAAAAATTGGCACTTGCCATTTGCCTCCACAAGGATTAAGTCGTTAGCCACTGCAGTCGCTGAGCTTTAACACACCCTGAAAGGAGTTCAAGGTGGAGATCAGGAACGAAGCCCTCTGTGCTCTGAGGAAAACTGGCAGAACAGGCCTTCAGATAGTTATTTTCAGGATATTTTAGGAGCACAAATTCTTGCATCTCCTCACATCTAGAAAAGTACAAAAAGTATTCATGGAGACATCTGCTCTTCATAACTATCAGTAATGGTCTCATGAAGCCTCTGCCAAAATGTGTGCTTGACTGCACATACCCCCTACACTAAAATCATATATAATGCTGACTGTCCCCCCTACCTCTTTGGAGCAGTTCCTCAAAGCCATCTGAGATGCAGTCTCCTGGGCTATAGTCCTCATTTGGCCCCCAAATAAAACTTAACTTACAACTCACACTGTGCATTTTTTTTTTCAGCTGACACTTTCAATCAGCCTGAATCTAGGTGCTGACTGTGATTCCCCAGCTTTGGGACACTGACAAGGTCTTGGTACAGCCTCAACTACTGGGACTCATTAAAAATAAAATAGGCTGCTTGGACAATCACTGTGTTGCAGAAAAATGTGTTATAGCTCAGTGTTACAGCTCAGTGTTACAGCTTGGTGTTACAGCTCAGTTGTGACAGCAACCTGGATCCCAGCGAGAGACCAAGCAGCACTTGGAGAGTTGGAGAACTCAGGTTTATTATGCCAGAAGGCCCAGAGGAGTTAACACTCCAAGCTCTGGACCCCCATCTGTAGGTTTACACAGGCTTTTATAGGCTGCCATTGTACACTTTGCAACATCATATGCAAATAAGGTATAACAAAAGTTGACTAATTAGGAACAAGTTTTGTAGAACTGGACCAATCAGGAGTGAGGGAAATGGACCAATCAGGAGTTAGCTCAGGGGACCAATATAATTTTAGGGGTAAGTTCCACTTTCCTAGAAGTAAGCCATTTCAGAGGCAAAAAGGGAGATAGAGCCCCAGGGCCAGGGAACCGGATGGTGCTGGCAGGAGAGTAGTGGCCCTGCGTGGGGGTCCTGCTGGTCTTTTTTTAATGGGACTTCCCACCTCAACAGAAGGTTGAGAGACAACCAATAGCTGAGGCAGGTTGAACAATGTGGCTCATCTCCCACAGGAGGACGCTCCTTTAAGACTGGCTGCTTTATCTAATGCATTGAAACCAACACAGAGAGTCAAACAAAATGAAGGAAAAAAGGAACATGTTCCAAACAAAAAAACAAGATAAAACCTCAGGACCAAACCTTAATGAAACAGAGATAAGTCCTTTATCTGACCTAAGAGGAAAATCTTACAGAGCACTGGTCAGGGGGATGAAGAAATGAGGTGGACGACAAAGCCAAAGATGGAGAAACACAGAAGGAAAAATAAGCAAACAAGAAAAATATCAGACACTGAAAAGTACTATGAAGGGTACCACTTATAATATTGCAATAAAATAGTAGTATTAAAATAGAGCTGATATGCAAGATTTCTAAAC